AGAAGACACGATTTAGGCTCAAAGGCCTCGCCCATTGAATTCTTTGAAACAAGCACGGGCTCTGGCCGACGAGACAAGGTAGCAAGTTGTTCATACTCTAGCTTTCTTTTTTTTGTTTGCCTGCCTCGCGGCCTCCTGCATGGCCGCCAATTGTTCGCCGCTCTTCCCTCGCGGCATCTCTCCACGAAGAAAACAAGATCACATCATTCGTACACAAACTATGTTTAACTGACAACATACACTATGGTGCGGTGAGCACTGAGCAGAAACGGCAGAGGCTGTCTCTCGCAGCTCTCGTGCAGCACTCTCGCAACACTACTGGTATTTACCCTGATGCCGCGATGAGGGGGAGGAGGAGGGAAGCGAGTAAGGGCTCAGCGATGTAGCAATTATGCCATAACCATAATTGCTACATCGCTGCAGTCAGGAAGCAGCCTCGTAGCTACATCGTTACAGTCAAGCAAATGCCTCATGGTGTTTGCCCCGTGGGAAACGCCATCAGCTGCCTCGTAGCTACCTCCGTGTTCGAGCTGCCTCCACTCCCCTCCCCCTTCCCTCTCATCGTCCATCACCACTCCCTACTTCATTTCCTCTGCCTTAAACAAAAGATACACACGCCCTGCGATATTGTGTCTTGGGGCTTTTAAAATGGTGTCCTACGATTTTCAGACATGCCTTTTTGAAGCCTTGTTGAAGCTCTTCTTGTCGCTCAACGCACACTCGGATTTTATTAAAGGGAGCCTTTTTGGAGCCTTTTTGGAAGTTCCCCCTGTTCAAGAGTTTAGCAGCGCCCCGAACTATAATCCTAGTCCTCGTCCTCCTCGTCCTCGTCCACATCCTCCTCCTGCTCCTCCTCCACCTCCTCCTCCTCCTCCTCCTCCTCCTCCTCCTCCTCCTACTCCTTTCCCCCTCGCCCCCACGCGGCCCCCAGGGATGACCCGAAGAGGCCTTCCAAGGTCACCCCCTTGCTCCCAGCAGTCTCTCTGTTCACCCTGGTTGCCCGCTTTGTTTCCCTAGATGTGTCTCTTCGTCCCTTTCCCCGTCAGCTCTCATGTGCAGGGCTTCTGAATGGGCTGGTGGGGATACTTTTTTGATTAGCGGCCCGCAAGGAAAAGTCCAGAGGGCGTGAGTACCGAGGCTGGGGCACAGCGCAAGATAATTAGCGCGAGAACGCGCGGAGTGCACATGCAAGGACCAATTAAGGCCACGGCCGGCGTAAGCCAGCGAGGAGCCGCCCTGACGGCGCCAACTCGCGAAGAAACAAACACAAGCAGCCAGCCGCGAGGCACGCACAGCCTGCACCTGTGCAGCCGCAGAGGCCAAACCAGCCGAAGGCGGCGGGAGCGGCGGGCGAACGGAAGCGCGAGCAAGCGAGGAGCCGCCCAAACGGCGCCCGCAAGCAGCGACCACTGGCCAACCACAGCACGCACGGGGCCTGTACCCGTGCAGCCGCAACGGCCAATGCAGCTGTAGGCAGCAGGGGAAACACCTACAGACAGAGAGAACGGAGCAAGTGGCGACGAGACAGCCAGTAGGAAACCCTCACTCACGGAGCACCCGGTGCTCATCGAGGACCACAAGAGCACAAATGAAGAGCTCCGTCGACAAGATATGGAAGGTGCCAAAGGCGGACAACCTACACGCACGGTGTGAGCCACCGCTAGGTACTCTGACTGAAGAGCGTGCCCTGCTCAGGTCCCAAACATGCTGCCACAGCACGTGTCAAAATGGCGCGCCGTGGCCCGCAACTATGCATCCTCACTCCAGGAGATGACCCAGTGCATCCCAATTGCGAGGCGACTAGCTCACTGAGACTCACTGAACACGCCGACAGGCGTCTGCCGTGCCCCAGGCACGGTGAAGGGCGACTGTCGCTTGTCGGCACCATCGTGATTGGGTGGAAGCCGCAGCCCGTAGCCTTACCACGTGAGCGAGCTGGCCTGTAAGCATGGAGGCCTAGAGCAGCGGGGAGGGTTATTTCAGCCGTACCCCACAAGCGGAGCCCACTGATACCATAGGGGAACGCAGTGTAAGTGCACCTCACTCTCCAGGAGGACGCACGTGGACTAAGGCCAAGGCCTGACACTGCGGTGACACCGTCCGCGATGAGGACTGCCCCTGGCCACTGCGGCCCATGGGGGAAGCCCGTACTGGCCCAGCCCCTTCACCTGTGGCCTGCCAGCGAGCAGCCTGGAGACTTGCGAGTCCTGTGAGTGCCACAAGCCGATGGGGCGCCACCATCGTACCCAGAGCGCCAGGAGGAGGGGAGGAGGGCAGGCTGGTGGGGATACGCGAAGCGTGAAGAGTTTCGGTTCATGTCCCCCCCTCTGGAGCCCATCTCGTGGCCGTCTCGAAGGCCTCGTGGGCCGTTTTGGGTGCCCCTGGAAGAGTCATGCAGCCCTTATGCCGTCCCAGGGCCTTCCTGGGGGCCGCTGGGCCCCTCCTGAGGCGGTGTCGGAGGCCTCGTGGGCCTCGTGGGCATTCTGGCATTCAATGTCAGAATGTGGACAAAGAGAGGGCACCGGAAGCAATGAAAAACACTAGCGAAATCAATTATTGTTGCCACTCTGGGTACTGGTCTGGGGCCTCGAGCGCGCACTGAAGCTGGCCAGGGGCCGTCCTGGCGCAGCCTGGAAGCCTTCGGAGCCCGTTCAGAACACATCTTCGGTGTCTCGGGTTATGCTAGACCCAGTCTTGTAGACTGCCGGACAAATTTGTGGGCCCTCTGTGCGACCACAAGTATTTTGGAAACCACGAGACGCCCCATGTAGCCCTTGCGGCACCCATGTGTATCCGTGGTCTCCGTCCCGGGCACGCCCAAGGCCTACTCCTATATATATATATATATATATATATATGTACGTATGTGTGCGTGTGTGTACAAACACTTATATATATATATGAGAGAGAGAGAGAGAGAAAACAAAAAAAAGAGAGAGAGAGAGAAAGAAAGAGAGAGAGAGACGATAGGGAAATACCCATATACATACGTACAAGTGTGCAAAGGGAGAGAGAGAGAGAGAATAGATATCCATCACCGTGCCGCTGGGTACGGAATGGGCTTGTCCTCAGGTCTGCCACCCAATCCCCTGCGCAGTCCTCAGGAGTCTTCAAGGGGCCCGGAGCCCAAACTCATGAATCTCCTGAGCCTTCCTGCGTCTTCTCGGGGCTTGTCGCGTGACCTTTTCGGGCCCAAGAGCGCCCCAAGACGGACCAAGAGGGCCCTCAAGACAGTGCAAGAGGGCCCCGAGTCGCCGAACGATCGATCCAAGACGCTCAAGATGGGCCCCCAGACGGGAAATGTGAGTTGGAGTTGCCCCTCGTGGGCCCCTCTATGGGCCATCTACAACCATCTTGGGCGCCTCTGGGGCTCTCTTGGGCCGTTTTGGGGCTCTCTTGGGGGCCTCTTGGGCCGTCATGGGGCGATCTTGGGTGCCTCTTGGGCCGTCTTGGACGTTGCTTCAACCTATAAATTGATATGCTGAATCTATACGTTTTCCAAAAGCGGGGCCCTCTTGAGGAGGATCTTGGAGCCTTCTCGGGGAGTCTTGGGCGCCTCCTGGGGGCTCTTCAGTTGTCTTGAAGCCATCTTGAGGCGTCTTGGGGCCCTGCTGGGCCGCTCTGGTCGCTCATCTGTGCTCCCCGGAAATCATTTGAACGGCCAGAGGGAAGCCCAGGAGGCCCCGGAGGGGGTCCAAATTTCTGGTGCCGAGATTGGGGGGGAATCCTGGAGGGCGTGCCGGGCCGGGACCCTGGTCCCCAATACCCCGGTATACGATATATCCCAGAAAATCCGATACGGGAAAACATCGGTAGCGCGAAACAAGAATCAGTAGCTACCCAATTTCCCCCAGTGCCAGCTAGAATCGGTAGCGATCGATTGTTCGTTTTTGCAAACGACACCCCGAATCAATCGGCAGCCGTTACCCATTTTAGCTGTTCAGCGCTAATGATCGAATTTCATTTCGGGGCTACCGCAGTTCATGCAAACGTTCGTTGACATTCACCAAACGTTTGTCAACCGTTTGTCTAACGTCTGTGTGGTGTGTCGCCACGCAGGCCCTCAATCCCAAACGTTTGTCAAACGTTTGCCAACCGTTTGCAAAACGTTTGTTCAACGTTTGTGCCAGTTCGGTGGTCAACGGTTTTCAAACGTTGTTTTTCACCATTGGGCAACAACAAACGTTTGCAAGCGTTTGTCGGCAGTCGGGCCCAAGCGAACGCACGGTTGACGAACGTTTGTTATGGAAATATTCGCTACAAAATTTACTTTGCGCGCTATCGAATTTCGCGCGCGCTCGGTGTCGAATTCTCGCCGGCCGAATTCACCGACCAGCAGAACTGATCATCGCTATCGACTTTCATGCCTCTGTCGGTCACGATCGACTTTCAACTTCTCTTGTTTGGACGTGGGTGTGTCTTGGGTATTGGATGATCTGGGATGTGTATATATACACGTTTATATCTATATATATACGCAGATATCTACATCTATAGGTGTGTATACATAGATATATATATATATATATATGTATAGAGGTGCTATGCGCGAATGTGTACGCGAGTGGGTGCACATGGTACGTACACACACGTAGTATATGCATTCCCTTATATATGTGTGTAGAGCACCGTGTGTGCAAACATTGCTAAACCTCAACAGTGGCACATACGTGTGACTGGATGCTCAGCCACTAAATTTCCCGACGCCGGTCTTCATTGCCAGATATCATGTGCATACAGACGCAGTCGTAATGCCACGCTAGTCTGACTCGGTCTGTCCGTTACGTATTTGGAGCCCTACGTGAGTGTCAGGCAACCTTCCTGGGACCCTTTCCTTGCTGTGCTGTTTGGGATACGAGGGACGTCTAGAGCCCCCCCCCCACACAATCCACAGCCTCCCCCCCGACGTCAGCATGTCTTACAAGAGGGGCTGGGGCGATAATCTGAGCAGTAGGCAGTACAAGAAGACGGCTGCATGAGAAAGGTTCGCCCACATATGCCTTAATCTTCGTCGGCGCGCTCGGGTCGATCTTTGGCTGCTTCCCCTGGAAGGCCAGCGCTGCGGGGTACAGTAGAGGCACACACGATTAGACATCTTGCTGTAAGACACGTTGGGGCATCTTCGTTGTCGATCTTTGAGGGTCCTGATGTGCCCCAACGCTCCTGTGGGTCACTGCGGCAATGGGTGCTAAGAAAGTTCCGTGGGGCACCTGCCGGTAGGCCGATTTCTTACGTGACGCGCCTGCTGTGCGGGAGCGAGCGTCACAACAAAGAGAGAGCGAAGATGGGTGGCGTTTCTTCGGAGCCGCGGCTGCGTTGGCTCAATTCGGTATGCTTCTTCCAACAAGCAGCGTCCACGTGAGACTGGCGGGCGCAAGGCCGCTGGCGTCGCGCGATGTGCGCACTTCTGCGCTCCTGGGAGTCAGGGGGCCGCTGGGGACCTCCACCACATTTGGCGGATCGGAAACCCTGATCCGAAAAAAGTTGTCACCTCTTGGGGGCGCATATTTCACTTCCGCCGCATTCGCCGAGGAAGACCTGACAACTCCTTCGATCCTCGAAGGCGAGGCCCCTTTTTGGAAGGCCTCATATAATCGTTGCAGCTCAGTTTTGCATCAGTCTCCCCAACTTCTGAAAGCGGACTGCATCACAGTCACACAAAAGGAAGTCCTGAGGATGGGGCCTCAGGATGCAAGACTCGTGGAGTGCGCCCAGGGGGAGCAACACAAACGCGCCGACCCTGAAAAGGCCCCCCCAAGGCCGGAGAAGCCGAGAACGCGCTCAGGAAGGCCAGGACCGAAGGATGCAGGGTGCCCCTGCGAAGACGGCCCGTCCACGGCGCTGGTCTGGGCTGCACGCCGCGTCGCGCGCTGGAGGCTCGGCAGCCGCGAGCGCCCCGGGGCCATCCGGGGGCATCCGCGCCCGGCCTGCGCGACCCGCCGGGCGCCAGCGCAGGACCCAGGGCGCGAGCTCGGGGCGCGGCGTGCCGAGACGGGGGCGCCGCGTGCGCCGCGCCGCCGGCCGTGCCAGACTGCAGCCTCGCCCCGCCGAGGGGGAGAAGCGAGCACAGCAGACGCACACGAGAGGAGGCCCTCGCCACGCAGGAGACCTTAGGGCGCACTGCTCGTCGATCTCTGGGGGGCTCGCAGGTGGCCCAGACCCTCTGTGGGCCCCCGGGGGCAGCGGAGGACGAGGAGCTTCCGTGGGGCACCTGCTGGCAGGCCGACTTCTTAGTCGCCCGGGCCCGCACAGCAGAGGTACAGACAAACCAAGACACTGGGCGCACCCCGGATAGCTGCATCCATGGGTCGAGACATTATCCGTCCATGGTTCTGTCCAGGTGGAATCTTCAAAGTGCTGGTCAACAATGTCCTGGTTTCGGGGGCCCTGCCCCGACACCATGTCTCTGTCATCACCGTCGACGCCAAGAAGTCTCGACCCCTTCCCCGGGACAGCCTCGCGAGGGGGCCGAAAGCGGGGGGCAACCAGGGGCCGAAAGCGGCGAAACACCGACCGCCGCGCCTCCTTTCACGACTCGCGAGGGGGTCCCATGGGTTTCCGTGGCCCGGCCTTCCCGGAGACCCGACGCAGAAAATCACGCCCGGACCCCCGACAACATCTTTCTGCGCCAATCTTCGGTCGAAAGTGAGCGAAAACGCTGGGCTCGAGAAACTCGAGTCGCCAAGATCTCAGCGTTCTCTCACGACCTGAGGGGTCTGGGTTTGGGAGGCCCTGCCTTCGACGTGCCTCGTGCGCGCAAGACATCTCGAGGGGGCCGTCTCTGCCCGCCTCCGGCCGAGCAAGGCTGCGCCAGAAAGGGCAGCGCCGTGCCCACCGCCTGCCTGACCCCTGTGCCGAGGCTTCCTTCGGGGATCCTCCTACTCCTCCTCCTCCTCCTCTTCCTCCTCCTCCTCCGCCTCCTCCTCCTCCTCCTCCTCCTCCTGCTCCTCCTCCTCCTCCTCCTTCTCCCCCTCCTCCCCCTCCTCCTCCTGCTCCTCCTCCTCATCATTATCATTATCCTGGTCCTCCTCCTCCTCCTTCCTTCCTTCGGCTGCGCCGTGTCCGGGTCAATCCAGACCCGGGCCAGTCGGGCGGGACATCCCGCACCCCAGCCCGGGCCAGTGCACCCCTGGGCCTGCGGAGTCCTGCGAGATCCGGCGCTCTGGCTGGCCCCCGCCTGCACGGACCCCCGCCCCTGGAGCCCCGACTCCCGGGGGGGCGCCCGGGCGCCGGCCGACCCCGCATTCCCAGACCCCCCCCCCGAGCCACGACCACAAATCACGCCGGGCGGCGTGTCGATAATTCGTCGGCCCCTTAAGGGGCACTTGGCGGGGCCTCGGGGCCGTCAATGGAAACGGCTCAGGATGGTCATGGGGAATGGGTCCAGAGCCTTTGGGGTCGACGTCATGGGAAAATTCACGACGTCGGGGGCCTGGGATTGGAGAGGACACGCGAGAGGACACAGGACCCTTCCGAGGGCCACATTGCAATAGGAATGCAGGAGGCAAGTGTCGCGAAGCACAGGACACGAGGGCACCCTCGCTTCCCCCCGAGGCCCTCCGAGGCCGCCTGGGCAAGCAGACCCAAACATGCAACGTCCCGAAGAAAAGGATGGTGGTCTTACTAAATGTTCGCCTCGGGGGGGCCTTACCAGGCTCTGGGGCCGTCAACAAAACGACTTGCGATGAAAAGCCGGCCCTGGGGAAGGAGTCAGGACTTCCGCGAGGCGCGTCTTGGCAACCTCATGATATCGGATATCGCATGTTGGTGGCGCGCATAAGGGAGGGGAGGGAGGGAGCAAGGCTTCTCAGGAGGCTGCTGCTGAGAAAGCGACGGCCTTACATCCAGCCTTCTAAGGAGGCGGGGTGCTTCTAAGCAGCCGTCCCCCCTCCCCCAGCCCTCCTCTGCGCGTGGCTGAGCATGCCTGGGGAAACCACCGCCGGACCTCGGGGCCGTCACAAAACGACTCCACAAGAACGAACGAGGCTGCGCCCGGTGGCTGGGTCGATTGCCACCCCGCCGGGGAGAGCCCGCCCTGCATGGGACCCGTTCGGGGACGCACTGATCCGGGTCAGCGCAAAGCCGGGTCAGTCAGGCCTTGCAGGATCCTGCGAGATCCTGCAAGATCCTGCAGGATCCTTCGCCCAAGCCTGGGCGGTCAGTGCGACCCTGGCCTTGAAGGATCCTGCGAGATCCATCGCTCTGACTGACTAGAGGCCTCCTAGATGGGGTCGGAATAGATAGGGTCGGCGGATAGCGCCGCATCGGCGACACATCGGCAATGCATCGGCAAAATGCGTCGGCGATGCACTGGCGATGGCATCGTCGACGTCGGCAATGCATCGGCGACGTCGACGTGAAGCAAATCGGGCTGCACATCGAGCCGCATCGGCGATGCATCGGCGATGCGGTGCGATCTCCGACCCCATCTACTCCGACCCCATCAAGGAAGCCTAGACTGACCCCCGTTTGCATTGACCCCCGTCTCCTGAGATCCGACGCTGCCAAAGAAAGATGTAACATCGCAGAACATCACGACGGGACGACCGGACCCCACCTTTCTGCGCCATTTCTCGAGACGAATCGATCTGTGAGGGCCCCGGTACCCGAAATGGAGCGACAAAACGCCTGGCTCGACAAAGTGGAGTCGCCAGGATCTCAGGGCCTCTCATTGGGGATGGACAGAACGCCCCTTTCGTAACACGTGGTTTCGTAAAAACGACCTCGGGCCCACACCTGGCGGGCGCAAGCCTGGAAAAGGAACATGACGGTCGCGGCGCCCTCTCGAGAACCGACAACGGACAGTTCACGAATCGGGGGCCACATGCGAACCCCACCCTCCCCCTCAAAAGTCGTGGTGGGCAGGGGTCGGGTTCGCATGTGGCCCCCTAACGAATCGACACGTCGGGGTGGGGGCTCTGTCCACCCCACGACCTCCGAGAGCCCCGAGCGGGCCTCTGCCGGCCCTCCCTCCGCAAGAGGGCGAGGGGAGCCCCTCCGGGCGGGCAGCCGCGGAGCCTCCCGCACCCCTGGAGGGCGAGGGGCCGCCCCGCTCCGCTCGGAGCGCCCCGTGCGGTGCGCGGAGGCCCGGCCGCCGCCAGGCAGGCGGCGTCGCGTGCACAGACGTCGAGCGGCGGCCCTGCTCCCAGCGACCCCCCTCGAGTCATGGGAAAATCACGACGGGAGTTTTTGATATTTTTTGGGGTTGTTGCTTTTTTGTCATGCGTTCGGCCTCTGGGGGCCCCTACCGGGCCTCGGGACCGCCAGCAAGACGACTCAGGATGAAAAGCCGGTCCAGAGAAGGGGTCCAGACCTCTGAAGGTCGACGTCATGAAACAATCATGGCATCAGGTGTCTGGGCTTAGAGTGAGAAGCATCTGACACCAAGAGCAGTAGTCCAGGGTCAGATGTACAGTCAGGCCCCTGCCAGAAGGAACGCTAAATCAGGAACGAAGCCCTTTTTTCAGAATCCCGTGATATATATATATATATATATATATATATATATATATATATATATGTAAGGAACGGCGGAGCCCATTTTGGGAAGCGTTCCCTCATCGTCGCCTCTCGTTTTGACAGAGACCCCCCCTCTGCCGAGACATAAGGAACGGGTGCCCGCGGCGCGCAACAGGAGAAACAACAAAAAACGCCACTGGTGAGCGCCGCGCAAGGAACGGCGGGGTTTTTGCTCATATAAAAAACTGGACGCACGAGCAGCGAGAATAGGAACCGACCTCAAGCCGCGCCGCGCAAGGAACCGACGGGCTAGCGCCAGGAACTCGGCCCTAACGTTGCAGATTTCATATTTTGGCATGCGCGTGAACCTCAAACCACGTCGCGCAATGAACCGAGGGGCTTGCGCGAGGAATTGGGCCCTAACGCGACCACTTTTGCATATTGTTATACACGCGAACCTCAAAACGCGCGCCGCAAGGAACGGCCCAAACGAACCTGCGGCACATTATCTTCGCAGCGGCGCAGGGAACCCAGCCCCTACTCGGGGCCCCGTTCCTTAGATCATCCGCCCCGTTCGGCGAATCGATTGCGCGCGCGCCATAAACCAAGGAACGCCGAGGGGGCTTCGCGGCGCAATGGCGAGGGAACGCCAGCCGACCCAAGGAACCACCGAGCACCTTCCAAACCCGAACTGGACCTTATCTCAGGAGCCTCACTGCACGAACACAAGCGCGACGACAAAGGAAGCCACATAAAAAGCCTGTGGCCCAGTCCAGACTCTTGAGCCTCTGACGCGGAGTCTGGAGTCCATGAGGATCTGCATTGTGTCTTACGAGTTCTGATGGGCGTACCTTTCAGTCGGGCGTGTCCCCCTACAAGGGGATTTTCGACGAACAAAAAAAATACCCCACTAAAAACCCCAAAATGGCAAAAACAAAAATGCTCAAAACATAGTCCCCGGACTATCTTAATATTATTTTTTGATGATTTTTGGGGTATTTCGCATTTTTCGTCGAAAATCCCCCTGTAGGGGGACACGCCCGACATAAGCGTACCTGCAGGAGCGCAGCATTGAGAAGCGAATGAAGAGGGCTCCCCTGGCCGCGGCGCGCCTCGGCCACGAGCCAGCTCCCCGACCCGGCTCCGGGGGGCGGCCTCGCCACCGGAGCCCCTCCTGGGCCCGAAGCAGCCCGGATTTCAGCGTCTCGGCTGCGTCCTGCCTCCGGGCACCCTGCGAGGGCGAGAGCAGTCGGGGGAGGAGGAGGAGGAGGAGGAGGAGGAGGAGGAGGAGGAGGAGGAGGAGGAGGAGGAGGAGGAGGAGGAGGAGAGGAGGAGGAGGAGGAGAGGAGGAGGAGGAGGAGGAGGGGGAGGAGGAGGAGGAGGAGGAGGAGGAGGAGGAGGAGGAGGGGGAGGGGGAGGAGGGGGAGGGGGAGGAGGAGGAGGAGGGGGAGGAAGGGGACGAGGAGGAGGGGAGAGGAGGAGGAGGGGAGGAGGAGGAGGAGGAGGAGGAGGAGGAGGAGGAGGAGGAGGAGGAGGGGGGGAGGAGGAGGAGGGAGGAGGAGGAGGAGGAGGAGGAGGAGGAGGAGGAGGAGGGTGAGGGGGAGGAGGGGGAGGGGAGGAGGAGGAGGGGGAGGAGGGGGACGAGGAGGAGGGGGACGAGGAGGAGGAGGAGGGGGAGGAGGGGGACGAGGAGGAGGGGGACGAGGAGGAGGAGGAGGAGGAGGAGGGGGATGGGGACGAGGAGGAGAAGGAGGAGGAGGAGGAGGAGGAGGAGGACGCCTTCGCCTTTGGCGATGCGTCTCTCGGGGCTACTGTGACGGGGGCAGGCCGGTGTTGCCCCCGTCCCTTCCGCGCTGCCCTGCATCGCCACTGTTCACTTGCACTTGCTTCCTGTAACAAGTTCGGTTACAACCCGATCTTGCCGTCAATGTTCCACATGGCGCTGCTTGCCCCGAGCGGGCAGACAGCGTCATTTGCATCCTGCCTCCTGATACCATGCGCAGAGTAGCAGTGAATGGAGGAGGCGGAGGAGGGCACCGGCTCAGCAGAGCTGTTAGGCCTCAGCTGAACCGAATTGCGAAATCGGATCGGATCGGAATCGCATCGGATGGCCAGCGAATCGTCCTGAATCGAATCGGCACCGGGTCCCCGCGCCTGGCTCTGCCTGGCCCCAGCCGATGCTGGTGAATCGAACCGAACCGGAACCGCGGCCCAAGCCGGTGAATCGGATCTCATCGAACTTGCCATCGCTCGGTCGTCCATTCACCGTGCATTTTGCGGTTTCGTGCGTGTTTATCTTGGTCGATGATCCAGGATGCTCGTCGATGGTCCTCGCCGAGAAAACGTGTGCACGTTCGAGCGATGCCAAGCGAATTGGATCGTATGCGGCCCTAGCTATCCTAACTGCGAGGATTGGCGCGCAGCGCCGTGGCGCTCAATGATTATTGGGCACCTCGAGGAGCCCGCCCTGAGAGAGTGAAAGAAGAGGGCAGCGATAAGAAACCCTGCTCTAAGAAGTTTTTGGGTACAGTCGTCGTCGATCTCTAGGGGCCCGCAGGTGCCCCTGCTGCGGGTCCCTGGGACCATCAGGAGCCAGGCATCTGCTGGCAAGCCGATTTCTCGCCTACTGTGCCTACTGCAGAATAATAAAATAACAGCGCGTGATCTTGCACTTCGATTGGAATAAGAAGGACATCGGCATACAAACAGACTTCCGGAATGCATCGCGGATTTCTTGGATCGGCGCTGGCTCCCTCGGCGCTGGACCCCGTTGTGTATGTGCCCACTTCCTTTTTCGAGAGACGCCAATTTTCAGAAGGGGACAGGGAGGTAACAACGAAATCAACACGGCGGACAGACTCAATCCGGGTCTTCTGTTCGTCAGTCGTATCGGCACTGCCGGTCACGATGGATGCTCGCTCTGAGGTCCTTTTCTGTAGCCACTCGCGTCACTTATGCGTCGATGCTGCGTCGAACGTTCGTCGGCTTGAGTCGAATTTGAGTCGCAGTTGCGTTGAGCTAGATCCGAACTGTAGTCGAACCAAGCTCGAGCTGGAGTCGAACAGATCCGTCACAAGCAATGAGCATCTAATTTACCTAGCTTTGAGCGACTCCCACCCGAGAACGTGAGGCGAGATCCTCTGGAAGCGCTGGGCCCATTTGGCCTGGCGGCCGCATCGTCGAAGACGCGAGGCGGGATACCCAGGGAGCAACAGGACCCTTGGGGGCCTGGCAGCCGCGGTGTGCAGGATGTGCGAGTCTGGTCGGGGGCTCTTCTGCACAGATCTAACAATCACCCAGGCCCCCGACGTCATACAAAGATCTGAAGCCCTTCCCGGGGACCGGACTCTCGTCCTCTGTCGTTTTTGTTGACGGCCCCGGGGCCCGGAGAGGGCCCCCGCAAGCCGAAAACTAGAACACACCTTCCGTCGCAATTTTGTCGCAACGAGAGGACGTCGGGAACGACATCACCGACGGCCTATCCAAAGTCTGCCGATCGCGGCGCGGTGGCGGCCGGCAGGGAGCGCTCGCGCGCCTCGGCGGCGGCGGCGGCCGCGGTCAGCGCCATCGCCGTTGACGAGGGCGGCGGCGCGGCCAGTGGGCCCTCGGCAAGGGGAGTCGTCGTCGTCGTCGCCGTCCATCGTCGTTATGGTCGTCGTTGTCGTCGTCGTCGTCGTCGTCGTCAACGTCGTCGTCGTCGTCGATGCCGCTGCAGCCGCCGCCGTCGCCGTCGCCGTCGTCGTCGTCGTCGTCGTCGTCGTCGTCGTCGTCGTCGTTGTCGTCGTCGTTGCCGACGTCGCCGTCGTCGTCGACGTCACCGCCATCGTCGCCGTTGTTTTCGTTGTCGTCGTTTTTGTTGTCGTGGTAGTTTTCGTCATCGGAAGGAGGGGAACAGAAGGAGGAGGAAATGGTGCAGGAAGAGTTTGCACAGATTGTCCCCTCAGGGCGGCTGCCCAACACGCGTGCTAAAGTATACTTGGTTCGGCGGCGACGGCCGCTTGACAGCGCCGTCGAGAGAACATGCCGCTCGGAAAAACATGTGCAAATGACACAACCTGTTGGCCCGCCCCCTGAAGAGGAAGACCAACACAACCCCTTCCGAATGTTGAAACAAGAAACCGTGTCAGATGGCGGGTGCGGGAAACATTGCATCAAAACCTTGCCGTCTCTGGGGGGCACATGTTGTACTTCTGCCGACTTCCGCCGCTGGAGGCGGCCTCAGCTGAGTTCTAGGACATCGGTGAAATTAGCTTGGGTTTCCGCCCGGCCCTTGACGAGAGAGGAAGAGGGAAAGTATGCTAATCCTGAGACAAGAAGGCGCCCAAGGCAGACAAAAATCTGGGAATCAAAACGAACGAACGATGGGTAAGGATGCAAGGCCACTGGGAGCCCGATCTGCGTCAACTAGCCAGCCGAGTCGGTTCGTCCAGGCAGGAAGCGCGAGGATGCACAGCACCCCTGTACCCTTGGTAATGCGCGTCGTCCTGATCGGGATGTTCAGCGCTGCCTTCTTTTTTTTTTTTTTTGTTTTTTTTTTTCTCGTCTCGAACAGCCTGGACAAAACACGACCCAAGACCTCTCCAGAAGTCTTGACCAACACTTCAAGGCGGACCTGGCCGCGAGGACGAGAAGCCTCCCCGGAGTCCCCAAAAAAGGGCGACGCACGAACATCAATAGGCCCTGGGACCAGCCCAATAGGGGGCATATCAAATTCTATCGGGGGCTGGTTGGAGGTTGCCGGCACCCAAAACTAGCCAGCGAATGCTTATTCGGCCGCCGCCTCTGTCGAGGAGAGAGGTGAAGACGGAGGGGAGGAGGAGGAGGAGGAGGAGGAGGAGGAGGGGAAGGAGGAAAAGACAAAGGAGGAGGCGAAGGAGGAGGAGGAAGCGTAGGTGGAGGTGGAGGAGGAGGAGGAGGAGGAGGAAGAGGAAGAGGACGAGGAGAAGGGAGGGGAGCATGTCGGAGCGTGTGCCAAACGACAACGAAAGTCGTCCCCGAAGGGTGCACCAAGACGAAAAGCTGCGCTGGGATAGGGCAAGAACTTGACGCCGGCCCACTTGCGGCCACCTTCCCCGAGGTGGCGTACCGCCTCCGGTGGTGCTGGGGTGAACGGAACACTCACCTCTGAAGACGATACAGGTCCTGTTTCTCCGGACCCCGCTGCGCCGACCCTAATAGTACGGGCCAGCTACGCGGACCCAGGAGGGCAAACGTGAACTTCACCTCTGCGTGGAACCCATGGTGCGAGGGAGTTGAACCCTCCACCGCAGCAAGACAACGGCCGCCTGCCTGTCCACAACGCCCATGCGTCGACTCCAAGTGACAGTGTGCCCTTCGCGGTAGGTGGCGCTGGCACCAGGATACTGCACTATGCCCCTGCAAAGGGCGAGGGGGAGGGGGAGGATGAGGAGGGAGGGGAGGAGGAGAAAGACAAGGACGAGGGCAGGGCGAACCCAGGGATGCGCAGAGTCCACTGCCGGCCAAGAGAGCTTTTCGACCCGTATCCTAAGAACGCAAGATCAAGATGCAAGGGCCTTGAGAAGCCATTTCGACGCTTCTCGAGCGGGGCGCGGCCAATGAAAGACGCCAAATATGGACCGAGGAGGCAAGGATGCCAGGGTACCCTTGGGAGGGGTGCCCATCCTTACTATGCGGGTTGACTGTACTGACCTCCTGCAGATTCGAAACACCTCAAACCTCCCAAGCCTCGATCCTCGAACCTACAGCATCGGGGCAGACGAACGGGGCGGATCGCAAAAGGGGGAGTTTGCGAAATCTCCCGCAACTGGTCTCTCCCACGACTCCCGGCGCTGGAGGCGCCAATGCATCGCGAGAAACGAGCCCGGCGGCAGGGCCGAAACCGGCTGCACGCAGCTGGCTTTGTACACCCCCATGTCTTCCTAATCCCCCCTTCGACCATTCATCATCATCTCTTCCCCTAGTCTCACTCGCCTGCCTCCGCACTCTCCTGCTCCCAGTCGTGCGTGTGCTGAGCAACCCCATTCATGGTTCCACACCGCCTCCAGGAGGTATCCCGTGACATGTGCGTGTTGGGGTGCCCGTGGCTGATCCGAAGATGACGCTGTTGAGTCGCAAGGGAGGAAACATGTACGCTGATCCCGTGGAGGGGGAATGACCGGCGGGGGCCGCCTCAGGGGGGGTATGCACAGCGCCGATAGAGCAGCGGTACGCCCCCGGTAGCGCAACCGCACGTTCCAGGGCGGGGCGGGATATCAGGCCCCAATCGGCGACGAATGGGCGATTGGAGGCATTCCCCCCTAAACCTTTTCCCTTCAACGTTGCCCCTGATGCCCCCCCCTCCTTTCGCCCGGCTCGACAAGGTGGGAGCGGGGAGTGTCTCCGCTACCGCCGTGCAGACAAGGAAAAAGACTCTGGACCCCCTCAGCGCTCGTCTCCCCCACCGCCTCCCCCTTTCCCTCACTCATCCCAAAACCTCCGACGCCGTGTTTTTTATTTCGCAACGTGGCTCCGCAGAGACCTGAACTCTTTCCTGGGGGCCAGATGTGCATCCTGAATCTTTCTGGGCAAACCCAAAGGGTCCATTAACTATCGCGGATGGACAGAAACCCCTTTAGTAAAACATGGTTTTAGTGAAAATGACCTCGGGCCCAAACCTGGCGGGCGCAAGCCTGGAAAATGACGGCCGCGGCGCCCTCTCGAGAACCGACAGCGGACAATTCACTAATCGTCGTGTCAAGGTGGGGGCTCTGTCCACCTCCAGAACTACGTGTTCGACCATGGCCTCCTCGGTACCCATCTGCCTTGGGCGGTCTTCGGCGATCTTCCTACGGTCTTCGGCGGATCTCGGGCGGTCTTGGGCGGTCTTCTTTGGCGGTCTTCCTCGGCAGTCTTTGGCGGTTCCCGGCGGTTTGCGACCGTCTTCGGCGCGGAAGCTGGAGGGAGAGGAGGAGGAGGGAGGAGGAGGAGGAGGAGGAGGGAGGAGAGGAGGAGGAGGGAGAGGAGGAGGAGGGAGGGGGGGGGAGAGGAGGAGGACGAGGAGGAGGAGGAGGAGGGAGGAGGAGGAGTGGGTGATTGCCTTCAGGAGGGGGTCCATAAGCGAGCGCCTGACGGTTGAGGGCTCCCGGAGGCCGACCACGGCAACAAACCCTCCGTCCGTCGTGTGCTTTGGTTTGGAGCCTGCTCCCAAGCACTGGCAGCGACGAGGACGTGCGCCTGCCAGCTGGCACAGCCCGGAGTGCTTCACGCTCTGAGGGTGCCATGGCCGTCCCGCGGCCCTCCCCGCCTTTTTAAAGGAGCCCAGGCATGCACAAGTAAATGTTCGTCTTCCCCCCCACTTCCCATATTTTCCCGTACTTTCCTGGGAGTCGACGAATAATTTTGTCTGTGTTTTTTCCCCTCCTGACTTTTTCCTCCCGCCATCCTCTGCCTATGCCTCAATCTCCGTCGCATGCGTCCCATCGCAGACTGAGCGCAACCCCGACGCAAGACGCCGCCGATCGCCAGGGGCGGCGCCGGAGGCGCCGCCAGGGGGCTTCAGCGCAGATCCAAGGAACCCGCGCAGAGCTCCAAAAGTTTATCTTTATGACGCTCTTCTTCTTCTTCTTCTGGGATGCCCGCGTTTGTTGCTAAGGGGAGCAGGGGCTTAGAAGCGGGTCCTAAGGTGGGTAATTGCTGGCCGAACCTCGCATTGAACTAGGTTTCAGGTGCCCTAAATTGTGTATGGGGGGTGAGATAACTCCGCCAAGTGGGCGGAAGGCTAGGCCAACTAGAACAGCCTTAGCACCCGCTTCTAAGCCCCAGATCTCCGTAGCAACCGCCGCGGCCATCTCAGCTCGACGATCAGAAACAAGTTGTCCCCCACGACGCGAGGATGCCAGCCAGGGCCAACCATCCCCCTCGCGCATGCCCAACCCGACAGGATGGGGGGGGGAGGGGGGCACAGGGCGCGGTGCGCGCCTGGCCGGCGTCCGGCAGGCCCTGGTGCACCTCGGCAGGTGGCAGCCCTCGCCCCAGAGACCCGACGCTCCGACGGAATGGGAGCGGCAGGCCCTTGGCCGCTCTCGGCCTCTCCTGAGGCCCTCGCCGAGCCTCGGCACCCTCAGAGAACAGCCTGGGACGAAGGGCCCGCCCCCGGGGGGAGGCGGTCCTGACCTCCGGGGCCCACGCACCGAAGAAGAACCTGGACCGGCCGGGGACGTCCGACGGTGCTGCCCCGCGGGGCTTCTCTGGCCACGGCGTGCCTCGGCCACGGGCACAGGTTCCCCGAGGCCCTGTCGCTGCAGCTGCTGCTCGCATCGGGCGGCTCTGCACGGCCTCGGGCCCCGGGGCCCTCACGGTTTCGTGCCGGCTCGAAGCGTGCAGCAGGCAGGCGGGGGTTCCTGGGCTCCGGGTCGAGCTTGTTCTTGCTACGCTGCTGCACGCTTTCGCGACGTCGGATCTCAAGGAAGGGAGCGAGGGGGAAGTTCTGGCCACGGCGAGCTTCCCCATGTTCCTCTCCCTGCCTCCTCTTGCCACTCCTCGTGTTGCTGCTACTGCTCTTCCACCTTCGCTCGCTCCTTTTACTGTGCTTCCTCCCATGTGCGAGCGCAGACTGGACGAAGCCACCTGCGTCGGTGACTGCCCCATCGCCGACATGACCACCGGCATCAGGCCCTGCGCCGCAGAGCATGGAGGAGGGGCATGCGTGGAACCTGGGCCACAACAACGAGACGAATGGGCTGCTGTTAGCTGCCATTGGGGTCACAAAACTGAACCCAAAGAGGCAGAATACACTAAGGATGCAATGCCGCTGGCCGTCCATGCAAGACCCTTGGACATCCGTGCAATAATCTTGAGCATCCAGAATGATCTGAGGATGGGCCGAAGAGTCAACGATGCAAGGGTGCCCATTCCAGGGTGCCCGGAAGGGCAACACTCCTGGCGATGACCCTCTGATCATGTCGGAGCGGCCTTCGGCATCTTCGTGCTGCTGTTCGTTCTCTTGCTCCTCCTGTTGTTCCTGCTTAGGTTGGTATGTTGCTGCTGCTGCTGTTGCTCCGCGCCCTCTTTGTCCTTCTCCTCCTCCTCCGCATCTCAAGTCGCAGCCATATGCTAGACATTTGGACACGGGATGTATAAGCGATAGGCCGCTCTGTCTCAGCCCGCGAAGCGAATACCTCCGCCTGAAACAAAAAAACATCATTCCGACAGACAGAAGACATTGCCAATCTGACCACGAACTGCGGCACACCAGATAACGCGGCTATGGCACACGTGGCGCTGATCCAGGCGTAAACACAGAAGGAACGAGTCACAGCAGGCAAAAAAAGGAAGACACGGAGCATGAAGAGAGGGACCGAGACGATCCGAGACTCCTTTCTTCCCACCTCCCTCCTCATCCTTCCTCCCGTTCCTCATCCTCCTCCTCCTCCTCCCTCCTGTTCCTCCTCCTTCCTGCTCCCCTCCTCCTCCTCCTCCTCCTCCTCCTCCTCCTCCTCCTCCTCCTCCTCCTCCTTCCTTCTCGTCCTCCTCCTCCTCCCCCTCCTCCTCCTCCTCCTCCTCCTCCTCCTCCTCCTCCTCCTCCTCCTCCTCCTCCCCCGCAGCGCTCGGGAGCGGCGCCCCCGCCCCGCAGTCTCCTGGCCGCAGCAGGGCGCAGCCGCGCCCGCGAGCGGCGGCGCTGACCGCACGTCGGCGTCGGGGGAACCCACTCAAGAAGGCAACCATGAAGGGGCCCTTGGACACACAAATAAATACACGCAAATAAAAGGATTCCCCATATTTTCCTGTGTCTTCTGGGTTTCTGTCCTCCCCCCCAGTTCCCATTTGTTCCTATATTTTCCTGGAAGTCGACGATTTATTGTGTCTGTGTGTTTCTTTCCCTCCTGAAACTATCGGGTTGGGATGGCGGGGTTGGGAGAAATGAGGATACCCTTACCCGTAGGCGGCCGAAGGTCTCGTTTCTTACATCCAGATGCTGTTGCTCATGCCCTTCAGCCTCCCAACCCCGTCCTCCCAGCACGACGATGGCTCTCCTCACTCACCTTCACACTTGGGCGACGATCACAAGCTGGTCTTGCGCGAGATGGCATAGCGACCCTACGCAGTGGCTCACGGGGGACTCCCGCACGGCACGCCACGTTTGAAGCGAGGGCGCTTATGCGCGACCTTACGCGGGAAACTTACGCGCCAATGTCGGCGCAAATGACCCTGTTGTCTTGAGTCGCTCACTTGACTTACACTTGCGGTGGCTGACAAGGATGGGGATGGGAGAAAGGAGGGCGCGCCAGCGCCCTCAGCGGCCTTCCCCTTGACCCCAAGGGTGACCTCACATTCAATTGGCACTCTGAGGGTGCCTGGATGTCGTAATTGCTGAAGTGGTCGCCGGAGCTCGTGAGGGCCAACCGGTAGTCGCTATCCGATACCTCTGGCCTCGCCTCGTTGAGGTGGCGGGAACTAAAGACTACGCAAGTTGACTGGTCGCACCATGTATTTGTTGCCGCTTCCTGCGGATGAGATAGCGCGAGACATCATCCTTCGAGCCATCGGCCCAGCGGACTTCAAAGGTCTGGGCGCAGATCTTCAACACTGCGCACTCTAAGTTCCTTGCCGAAATTACACCCCTAATCGTGTCTCCGACGACGATCGGATTTTGGATGCCTGAGCCTGCCGGTTGGCACTGCGCCTCCGTTCTGCCGCGGCCTCGATTTCTGGCTTGCCCAGCAGCTCTTCAGTCGGCAACCCCCCTGGAGTTGGCAGACGAAGCTCGAGGCAACCTCCGCTGGGCGATTGCATTATCCGTTGTCTGCCGTAGCTGAAGGGCGTGAGGGCCCGCGCCTCTGGCAGAACCCATGCTGTGCCTCAGCTTGCAAGTCCAAGCATGGGATAGCCCAACTAACATCTGCCTGCTGCCGCTGACCACCTTGCTCGCACGAGTCTGCCGCATTCCTAGCGCATGGCGTCGGAAATCGCCCCTTCTCCCAACACCTGATGCACCAACTGCTCGCCTTTCTCGCGCGAACGCGCCCCGACATTATAACTGCTGACGTCGGGGTTCTCTCCTGCACCGACTCCTGCTACCACTGCCCGTCCCTTTCGCACGGGTCTTCTTCTCAGAGCAACAACTGCAGCCGCTGCCTGCCTTCCCCCGCGCGACCATAGCTGACGACGTCAGAATTCGTTCCTGCACTGGTCTGTCCCAACACTATCGTTGATGACGTCTGGTGTTGCTCCTTCTCCAGGCAGCTGCTGCCGCTGCCAGCCTTTCCCGCGCGAGTCCATACCAACACTTTAGCTGATTACGTCGGCGTTCGCGCTGGCCCCCTGCTGCCACTGCATACTTTTCTCGTACGATCCGGCCCCAACCCTGCTGCTGATGACATCGGGACTCGCAACGTCCCCCGACACCTGCTGCACCCACGCCCCACTTTTTTCACACCAGTCCGACTGTCACAGCGACGTAGCTGCTGGCGTTGGGGTACGTTCCTGCTCAACACACATGCTGCCACGACCTGGCTCTCTGGCACGGATCTGCTCCAGCACCGTAACTGCTGCAGTTGGGGTTTGAGTCCGAACACATACTGCTATTACCGGCCCGTCTCGCAAGAAAATGTCTTCCCTCTGTAATTGAGATCGTCAGAATTTGGTCTCGTTCAAGACGCCTGCTTCCAAGGCCAGCCTTTTTCCGCACGCGTGGGCCAGAATACCATCGCCCATGGCGTCCAGATGTGGTGCTTCTTCAGATACCAGCTGCTGGTGCCCATCGCTATCGCCCTCTACGTTGCCTGCTTGGTTCAATCCTCAATCCTCTCCTCAGTGCCTATACCGTTCTTGTAAACTGCCGCTGCTTCGCGTGCATATGCGGTGCTTCTTCAGATGCCAGCTGCTAGTGTCCGTCGCTATCACCATCCACGTTGCCTCTTTGGTGCAATCCTCGCTCCTCTACTCGGTGCCTGTGCACTTCTTGCAAGCAGCCCCTCCTTCGCACGTTGTCCACCTGGGTCTGTGCAGGCTGGTTAGGGCAGGCAGCCTCTGGAAAAAGGCAGCGCTGCCGTACTCCAGGCCGTCGTACGCATCGCCAGACCCGTCGTACACGTAGTTGTCGGTCAGGAACCTTTGGACAGAATGTCGCGGCGGCGGCCCTGGCGACACGCTACGCCTTGCGATCGGACAGCGTGTCGCTCCGCCCCGCGTGACGGGAGGCTGGGAAAGGCTCGGACGTTGACGCTGGGGTACCAGAAAGCGAGTGGCGTGTCGCGCCGAGTGGGCCAGGTCCGGCGGACCGACACGCTGTCCAAAAGCTCCCGACCGTAGCCCACGAGGCGCGGGCGGGACAAAGATGACTACTGGACCGTGCGCTCCTTCTTGGCATCGTGCTTGTCGGGGCTGTCGTGCTTCCCGTATGCATCTCGCTTGGCAGCGCGAGGGTACTGGAACCGAATGCTGAGGATCATGGCGACATCTGTAGTTTTCGCTATCGCCTGCTTTCCGACTGAGAGGGCCAAGGTACAACTGCGGCTCGTGGTCTCGCGCCATGCTATGGAGCATGACGTGGTAGGTACATCTCGCAGTCTGTCCTCGATGACCAGGCTCCCAGACATCCGACGTCGTGCTTCGTTTTCACAACATGGCTCCCCAGAGGTCTGCACCCCTTCCCCGGGACCAGCGTTTCGCCTTTGGTAAGTTTTCGATGGTCCAGGGAACAGGTGAGGGCCCCCGGAAGCAGAGAATCTGCAAAAAACATCGGTCGTGATTCGTTGTAAACCACGAGGGGATTTCAGGGTATCGCGTAGCCTGTCCTCGATGACCTGGCTAATGGCTTCCAACCACCGTTGCTCGGCAAAAGCAGGCGCGGGCCACGGGGCAAGCCCCGCGGTCCCCGGCGCCGCCCCCCTTGTCAACGGGCACGCACGGGGCCACAGTTGCCCCAAGGCCAACATTTATGCGGGATCCTGCTCCTCGTCCTGCTCCTGCTCCTGCTCCTGCTCCTGCTCCTGCTCCTCCTCCTCCTCCTCCTCCCCCAGGTTCTAAAAGCAGCGGGTCTCGTTCCTCCTCCTCCTGCTCCTTCTCCTCCATCTCCTTCTCCTTCTCCTCCTCCTCCTCCCCCTCCCCATTGTCCTGAAAGCAGCGGGTCTCGTTCCTCCTCCTCCCGCTCCTCCTCTCCTCCTCCTCCTCCTCCTCCTCCTCCACCTTCTCCTTCTCCTCCTCATAGTCAGCCTCCTTCTCCTCCTCCTCCTCCTCCTCCACCTCCTCCTCCTCCTCCTCCTCCCCAGTGTCCCACAAACAGCGGGTCTCGTTCCTCCTCCTGCTCCTTTTCCTCCTCTTACTCCTCCTCCTTCTCCTTCTCGTCCTCAGCGTCAACCTCCTCCTTATCGTCAACCTCCTCCTCCTCCTCCTCCTCCTCCTCCTCCTCCGCCTCCTCCCTCTGCTTGATGAAGACGCAGGGGCAGCACCGGCAGGGGAGGGAGCAGGCGGAGAATGAGGAGGAGGAGGAGGAGGAGGAGGAGGAGGAGGAGGAGGAGGAGAAGGACCCAAACTGCCTCGCATCATGATGTTATATTATAGTTTCTGCCTCTGGGAGCCCCTACAGGGCCTCGGGACCGTCAAACAACGACTCAGGATGAAAATCTGGTCATGGGTAATGGGTCGAGACCCTTGCAGGGCAAATCATGACTTCGGGGGTCGGGGGACGGGGGACGCAGACGAGGCCGAGTAGGAGGAGCGACCGATGGAGAGGGGCAGCAACAGAAGCAGGAGCAGCAGTAGTAGGGCTCGCCTCCGCCCTTGCGAGGAGAAGGGGAAGGGAGGGCCTGGACCTGCCGCTGCTCCATCTGCGTCACGGACACGCCGGCCACATTGCTCGTCGCCGCCTCTGGCGCCCCCGGGAGGGGGAGGAGGAGAAAAATGGAGGAGGGAAGGGAGGACACGCGAGGGAGGGAGAAGGGAGGCGAAGAGGGAGGGGGGGGAGGGACCTACTCAGGTGGACCTCCGAGGGTGGAGGGTCCGCTGGGATTGCGGGGCATCCACCCCAGGACGGGCACCACCGCCCCTTCGGGAGTATGGCCACGCCCATGTCGGCGTCAGGCCAGGGCGTGCTGTCCCGTCGCAAGTGCTCCGCGCGCACCATGGCCCCAGCCTCCCAGCACCCCCCAAGACTCTGGAGGCCGCCCAAGCAGGGTCTGAGCAATTGGACGGGGTCGGACGGTCGTACCGTGGCGCCGATGCATCGGCGACGCCAGCCGGCATGGAGCAAATTGCGCTCCAAATCGCGCCGAATCGCTGGTGCATCGGCGATGTGGCGCGACCCTCCGGCCCCATCTCCCGGGCCCCATTTCGGAGGCCTGGGAACCCTGTGGTCCGACGTCGCGAAAACTGCAACCTCGCGAAAAATGCCCACCAGAGTCCAAGACCTGATCTTTCAGCTGCGTTTTTCGAGCCTGATCGGTTCGTGAGGGTCCCAGGGCCTGAAACAAAGCAAACTCGCCCGCTGTGAACATGATTTCGCTTCGAGCGGTCCCCACTGAAACCTCCGGCGTTTGTTCCAAACGTTGCGCGCGCCTACTGGAACGATGTGCACGGGGCCTGGCGGTCTCGACCAGCACGGCGGCCAGGCCAGGTCGCAAGTTAAAGCTTCCCGAAAGTATCACAACCCCAGGGCCCCTGACGAAAGAAACCGAAACAAGTCCCTAGAGCGACAAACCAGCTGCGAAAACGAGCCTTGCGAGACGCAAAACGTTGTTCGGAGATAATATGCAGCCTGATGCAAGAGGAAGAGAAGGAGCAGCAGCAGCTCGCAGAGGAGGCGGACGACGAAGGAAAAGGATGAGGAGGTGAGGCGGACATCTCCTTCCTTATCCTGCTCCGAACGCCCCGTCCTCCTCTGACGGCGGGGCGCATGTCGCGATTGATGAGACGCCTTGAGAAGGTGGCTGGCGTATACGTAATCATGTGGACGGGCCAACGTGGCGTCGTGACGCCTTTCACGTGTGGTATGGATTCTGATCGGTCGTTGCTGCTATTGATTGTTTCTGTGACCATCCTGGGCTTGGCGCGCATGTCGCGTATGATAGGCCGCCAGTGCTCGGTCTCTGCTGACTTCTACCCTATCACGCTGTGTTCGGTTCTCTTTTGTTCGATGCACATCTATATAGTTGTTTATGCTCTGCTCTCGGTGGAGCAGTGTGACGTCGTGACGTCTTTTGATACGTCGTCTAATCGGTCCTTGCCGCGCCTGTGTTTCCTGTGGCCAGGCCTGGGTGCTGCGTTTGAACGTGCGCCTTTAATTAGTCGATGCTGTATTTAACAGTGTTCAGTTATGTTGTGCTCAATATGGCTTGATTCCGCGAAGCTACAACATGTTATGTTATGTTGTCGACGGGACGGCGTGACGTCGTGACGCCTGTCACGTTCGATGCGCGGTCCGATCGGTCGTTGTTGCGCCTGCGTGTACATGTATATGTGCTGTCTTCGGCGCACACGTCGCGTTGCATTATGTTACGATACGGCATATGTTGTTTTGAAGGTCCTCTGCAAGTGTTGTTCCCGTTGTTTTAAAGATGATCCTTTATGCTCACCTCTGTCACTGTATGATTTGGAATGGTCTGGCCTACTCTGTTCTGTGGCACCACGTTATGGCATGATACGTATGTTCTGTAAAGTAGAGTGATACTAGGCTGTTGTATGTGTTGGTTACGGTACCCTCAGTGCGTTATAGTGAATGGTATGAGCTGATAGCCAGCCATGTCATGACGAAATCGTTGGCGTAGGGATGGCAGTAATACAATCAGTCTGCTATGTGATGCTTTGCTAACAAGATCATTTTCGTTTACGTTGTGCTCTAATATGTCTCTTCTGTTCTCGACGGGCCGGCATGGCGCCGTGACGCCTGTCACGATGAATTCGTATTCCGATCGTTCGCTGCTGCGGATGTTTGCTCCTCTGGCCAGCCTGACCTCGGCGCGCACATCGCGTCTGACTATATTGTAGGACAATATATGATGTTGCGATGGCATGATTTGCCATGCTATGAAGATCTGTGCTTGGGTGTTATAATGTGGTATGTCATGTGTGATGGTATGCTCTATTATGTTTCGGTATGGTATAGTGTGCGCTGTCCGTGTTCCATGAAGTGTGGTGCTATGTTGTGATCTGCATGCTCCATGATGTCATTACACGCGTTGTTAGGTTTTGCCCTGTTATGTCCTGTTCTGCCACCAGATGAGATCTTATGCGTTCTCATGTTACAATGCTATGATATGTCTTCCTGTGCGACGCTAAACTGTAATATACCACGCTCTGTCATGATATGATGTATCATGTCACGGAATGGTGTGTGCTTTGAAGCTGTGCTACGTTGTGATGTTCTGGCATGGCAGGCTACGGAATGATTTGGTCTGTCATGGTATGCAATGTTATGCTCGATTATGCTATGTTATGAGGTGTGAAGTTATGATCGGCTCTGTCTGAGCCATTGTGTCATGGTTTATCTGATGTAACACCTTACGCCGCGCTCTGTTACGCAATGATGAGCCATCTGCGTTACGATGCTATGTAGGTGCTATGATGCTGTATTCTGTTGTAGCGTGCTCTATCATGATATGCTAGGTTATGATCTGGTAAGTCATGTTATGCTATATTATGATATTGTATGTTATGGTCTGGGTGCTCCGATCTGTCAGCTCATTTTTTTATGAGTTGCTGTGCTGTGCTATACGATGCCATGTTATGTGAGGATATGACATGTTATGTGTTGGCATGTTCACATATGTTATGCTTTATCATGGAATGTTTGCTTTGCCATGGTATGGGATGGCATGTGCTATGATGATGTGCTATGGTATGCACTGCTCTGTCATGGTGTGGTGTGTCACGATTTGTTACGTCATGATATGGAATGTTGTACTCTGGTATGTTCTGTTAGGCGGTGAGGTGTTATGCTCTTTTCTGTCATAACTACGCGTGTTTTACTGCGCTATGTTCTGCTATTATATAATACCCCTCTGTCATGTTATGACTTGTCGGCGCGAGGCGGGACACTCGGGGACATTCGGGGGACCTGGGAATCTGGCGGCCGCGGCATGCAGAGTGGCGCGAGGCGGGACTCTCGGGGATACTCGGGAGCCTGGGGATCTGGCGGCCGCGGTATGCAGAGTGGCGCGAGGCGGGACTCTCGGAGATACTTGGGGGCCTTGGCATATGGCGGCCGCGGTATGCAGAGCGGCGCGAGGCGGGATTCTCCGGGATACTCGGGAGCCTGTGGACCTGGCGGCCGCAATATGCAGAGTGGCGCGAGGCGGGAGGTCCGTTCTGAAAACCTAATGACCCCAACCTGTCGGGTGGGGAACGACTGCGACGCCAAGATCCCAGGATCAGCCCCATGTCGCAGGTCGGAGGCCCGCTCCCCGGCGCTCGCCCACGACCAAGCGCCCATCCGCGGAGACTGGCGGCTGCCCCCGCGCCCATCCGCGGCCGCCGCTCCAAGCGAGCCTGCGCCGCTGGCACCAGCAAGCTCCGCGCCACACTCCGCGCCGCTGCACCTGCGACCAGTGCACACGGCCCCAATCCATGGGAGGGAGCTGTTGCCTCTCAAACCTTGCTCGAGTGTTAGCTCTGCCCCGATAGAACTACTGCCGGGCACTCTCTTGGAGATTGGGCCTTGGGCGCCTTGAGCACCACAGAGCTGCAAGCAAAATGACATCATATGGTATACGACACCATTATTACTAGTACTACTACTACTACTACTACTACTACTACTACTACTACTACTACTGCTGCTGCTGCTGCTACTACTACTACTACTACTACTACTACTACTACGACTACGACTACGACTACGACGACTACTACTACTACTACTACTACTACTACTACGTCTACTACGTCCACTACAACTACTACAACTACTACTACTACAACTACTACTACTACTACTACTACTACTACTACTTCTACTTCTACTTCTACTTCTACTACGACTACTTCTCCATCTACTGCTACTACTTCTACTACTGCTACTACTACTACTACCACTACTACTACTACTACTACTACTACTACTACGACGACGACGGCAACGACGACTACTACTACTACTACTACTACTACTACTGATACTGCGACTACGAATACTACTACGTCTACTACTACTACTACTACTACTACTACTACTACTACTACTACTACTACTACTACTACTACTACTACTACTACTACTACAACTACTACTACTGCCGTCCCTCCAACCACTCCCTCGTTTAACTTCTGGGGCTGTCTTGAAGCTATCCTAAAGGCTCGTTGAACGCTCTTAGGTCGTCTCGGGATTCGAAAGGGCCTCTTGAAGCGCGCCTGGGGCCGCAACGGCAAACTTACAACATTGTTCTGCCGTGTTCTGCAATTTTCCGCCCAGTCCCGCGGGCCTCTTGGAACGTCGTCGGGCTCTCTTGAGGACCTCTTGGGCAGTCTTGGGCCGATCTTGGGGACCTCTTGGGCCGTCGTGGGCGCTGTGAAGACCAGAAATGGAACAGCCTAAACCCGTACGTGTTTCGAATGGAATGGCGTGACGTTCACCTCTTCGGGGCCCGCTTGGGGACCTCTTGGGGGATTCTGGGGCCGTCTTGAAGCAATCTCGGATGCTGTCTTGGGGGATTCTGGGGCTGCCTTGGGGCCCTCTCCTGGGCCTCTTGGAAATTCGCCCGAAGCAGCAAATTAAGATTGTGGCTGTCTTCCGCCGTACTCTGCCGTTCTTCCGCCCGTGTCCAGGGCCAGATTTCGAGGGATACCCCCCCAGACCAACCTCAGGGGGACACACAACGGAAACTCCTTCGCAAGGTCAAGGAAAGTATCCTCTCCTGGGAGGTCCCCGGGGGGCTCCAGAGAGGAACCTGGAAGCCCTGCGGACTGCTGGAGCCCCGTGTCCGAGGCCAGAGTGTATACACATGCGCGCCAACTAAGCAGCTGACGCCCCAAGCGGTGGATGGATGGATGTGCAGTCGGGAACTTTTGCATAGCGTGTCACGGCGGCGGCCCCGGCGACACGCTGTGCCTCGCAAGCGGATTGCGAGTAGCTTCACTCCGCGGGGCGGGAGACTGGGAAAAGAGGCTCAGGACGTGGACGCCTGGGACTGGGAACCAGATACCGTGTCGCGCCGAAGCATGGTGGGCCAGAACCAGCGGAGCGACACGCTTAGCCGAAGCTCCTGGCTCTATGCATGTAAGTTCAAGCCTCGGACCTTTGGATGCCCCCCAATGTGGCTCGAGTAGATGTGATCGGAGGGCCGCGCCGCATCGCCAATGCATCGCTGATACATCGGCGATGCGTCGGCGACGTCGGCGATGCATCGCTGCCGTCGGCGTGAAGGAAATCGGGCACCACATCGAGACGCAGCGCCGATGCATCGCCGATGCGGCGCGATCCTCCGACCCTATCTTTTCGGACCCCATTCGGGAAGACCTGGATGCCAGGGGAAGATCTGCCAATCGCCCATCTGCGGGCCCCCCGTGGAGGATCGCCAGCGGGGGCAGTGCGGGCCACTCGAGGCCACTCGAGACTCGCGGAGCCCTTCTCGAAAAGCTGGGCAGTCTGATGCGCTGCCTCTGGAAACAGCTGGAGGGCCTTGGAGGCCCGTGGAGGCGACCAGCACCTGCATCATTGCCCCGGCCACGCCTCGATTGCCCCAGCCAGAGCACGGATGCCTGGGCTGCTCTGCCATGGCCCTCGGGCCTCCCTGATCAGGCGCGCGCGCGAGAGAGAGTGCATGCGCGCCTGGCCTTCTTCCTTGACGCTTCGTGGCGTGCCGGATGCACAGGAGCCTCTGGGAGAACAGCTTCAACACTTTTTGATCTGCAGGGCGAGAGCGAGCTTCTTCCGCTAAAAGCTCCAACTCTGCAAACAGCTTCAACACATGCACCGCGCAATCCCGCTCAACGCTGCTCCGTGAAGGCAGCGGTGTTGCGCGGTGTTGAGCGGTGCTGCGTGTCGTGCGGTGCTGTGCGGTGTTGCGCGATTGTGTCGCGTTGGCGTGCTGTGGGTTATGAAGTCCAAAAGGCCTCAGGCTCCTATGGCTTCTGGATCGGACAGGCGGCTTCGGGGGCTTCCGCACGGACATGAGTCTTTTCTGGCTAGAGCAGTGCCAACCGCCCAACGGAAGGAACAGCGACTCCGCACTTCACCCAGAGGCCATGGCCTCGGCCAGCGCATCTGCCAGCGAACTGTGTGCGTTGCCTCGGGCGGTATCTGCCGGCGTAGCGCCATCCTCGTCCTTCAGCCGGGGATCTGCGCCCGCAGAGACCAGCTGCGCAGCAATGGCCGTGGCGCCGAGGAGCGCGGCGTAGTGCAGCGCCGTGGCGCCCTGCTCGTCTGCGATGTTCAGGTCCGCCCGGGCCGAGATCAGCTGTGCCACGGCCTGGGGCTGCTCCGCATCGACAGCGTGCATGAGGGGCGTGACCCCGTCGTCGTCTCTTGTGTCCCGCTCGCCCGGCAGAAAAGGTGCGAGGTCGGCGCCGGCGCGCGCAGCGGCAAAAACATTGCCCGCTTTACAGGCCTCCTCGTCAACACCGTCGTGCTTCTTGATGCCTGCGGCCTGCAATTGTTTCAGAATGTCAGAAGGCAACTCCGATGCTGGTTTTCCTGTCTCGTCGTCCCCTTCACCAGCAAAGATGTAGTTAGGATCCACCCGGAGCACAGTCTCGACATACTCTTCCATTGCAGCTTCTTTTGACATACCGCCTACTTCGCTCCAAGCTTGCCACTGCTCCTCATGCATGCCTGGCGGCACGTCAGCGGGAGGCGGGCCCTTCGTAGCCACACAATACAACGCAAACATCCTCCTCTGGTCCTCTTCACAGATGCGGAGCCCGGCCTGTGTGCCTATGTGTGCCACAGCTTCTACGAACTGATCCCGCACAAGGGCATCAACGACCGCCGTGTCCATGGCACCGGGAGCAGAGCGAGGGCAGCTGACTGCCCAGGCTGGGACCCTGGGGCCAACATGGCTGTGATGACATTCCATTTCCAGTGTGACGGTGACGGCGTCAAAAATGATGATGCAGATGGTGGTGGTTAAGATGCTGAGTATGATGATGGTTATGTTTGTGATGGTGATGCTGATGGTGATGATGATGGTGATGATGATGACGACGATTGTAACCATGATAATGGTGACAGTACTGGTGTTGCTGCTGATACTGATGATGATGATGATGATGATGATGATGATGCTGATGCTGATGCTGACGGTGATGGTGGTGATAACGATGACGATGACGATGACGGTGATGATGCTGATGCTGATGCTGATGCTGATGCTGATGCTGCTGATGATGATGACGATGACGATGACGACGGTGATGACGGCCCTGGTGGTGGTGGTGATGACCAGGGAGGCCGTGAAGGAACGCACCGAAACGTAGTCGGATGAGAGTGAAGGTGTGGGACAATGTGACGGATGAGCCAACACTCGCTGCAAATATTGACCTCGAGCGAGGAGAGCCATGCCGGGAGTGTGTCGGAAGAGGGGACAAAACCAATCTGCATTGCTCGGGGCATCGAGAAGGAATGTGCGTCGGATCGGGCCACATCGGCACGGCGTAGGGCTCGAATCAGATCGGCTGCGCCAGGATGCAGAACAGCGCCGTGCAGGCATCGATCAGGCCGCATCCGACCGTGTGAACATTGGAGCCCGAATTGGACCGAGCTGTCGGGAATTGATATCGGAACGGATCAATCGAATCGCAGCGGACCCTGAGGGAGAGACGACGACGACGCTGACGACGCCGGCGATCGTGGGCGGGACGTGTACCCCGTTCGACAGCCTTGCGGTCCAGACGCGTCGGCCGAGACCCCGTGGACGCAGGGCGGCTCTGCCCGGATGCCCTGCTCGCGTAGCCGTGGGATCGCGCCTCGGCATCCAGACGGTACCGCGGGCATGGATATGCGCGTGGGGCCCACGCCGAGGGTAGAAACATCCCAAGCCGGCGCAGTTCGCAGGGGAGGTTGCGGGGAGCACAGGGGTACGGGGCCCCTACGGAGCCCCAGATCTGGCTGACCACGGCATCCCTGGTGTGATTCCAATCGATCGGAATTTTGGCCAGCAGCGGCCCCAGCGCACGCTGTGCCCTGCAAGCGGGTAGCGTGTCGCTCCGCTCCGCGGGGCGGGAGACTGAACAACGCTCGGGACCTTGACCCTTGGGAACTGAGAAGCGGTTGGTGTGTCGCGCCGAGGCGTGGTGGGCCAGAACCGGCGGCGCGATACGCCGAGCAAAGGCTCATGACCCTGAATCCTCACCCCCGTCGACGCCAGGCGGTTCTCGGGCCATGAGTGGGCCTCCGGCAGCCGTTCGGGACGATCCGGGCACCCCTGGAGAAAGCACTGGGCGAGACGCGGCTGCTGGAAAGCGCCCCGCGGCGAGAAGACCTCTGACATCCGACGAGGGCGCCGGGAAACCACCGACCCGCTCCCGTGGCGTTCTCTGCTCGCGGGGCGGAGCCGCCGCCGCCGGGCTGCGACCGCGGGGGGCCTCCTGCTGCCAGAGGGCCGCCGCGGACACCGCCGCGGTCTGCTCGCGGGCCCGCCTCTGCCGCAGCTGCTCGGCGAGGAGTTCCTGGCTGCCGCCGCTCGTCAAGTCCGCAAATCAGTTCACCCTCCTGGCCTTCCCCACCTCCTCCTCCTCCTCCTCCTCCCTCCTCCTCCTCCTCCTCCTCCTCCTCCTCCTCCTCCTCCTCCTCCTCCGTCCCGTCTCCTTAGAAATAACTTCTCCCTGTCGCACCCCGAGACGTGTCGGTTGGTCGGGCCTGGGTGCTTCGCCTGAGAATTCCTCGCTATCTATGGTCCAGGAGCTAAACATTTAAACGAGCTTATCGGATGGAGGGGGGGCCGTTTTCAGCATGTAGCTCTCGCCTGGGCACCGCGCACACTCGTCTCAACAGTTTGCGAGAGTGTCACTGCTGGAGGGCAGGTCGTTTTCAAAATGTGGCTCTCGCCTTAGCGCCGCGCACAATCGTCTTTAGACCTTCTTGCAACAACGTCAAGGGTTCTCAGGGCGAACGTCCCACAAACGGTTCTGTGGCACGATCTGGGGCTGCCAGGGCGCAACAGTGACGTTGATTTGCCGAGTTAAAGTCCGAGGAGCGGCATTCTGACACGATTCAGGATAGTCAGGACGCAATAGTAAGGTTGATTCGCGGCGTTGAAGTCTCAGGGATGGCTTGTCTTCGCACGGTTCAGGATTTCAAACGCTTGCCTTGAAATGGGGCACTGACCCCCTCTAACATCATGCCCAGTAGCGGCCTATGAACCAAGAACTTGGATTGCAACAGCGTTGATGGGTCTTGGGTTTACACTGGTCCTCCTCCTCCACCTCCTCCTCCTCGTCTCCTCAACCTCCGCCTGCTTGTCCTCCTCCTTTCCCCCTCCTCATAATTGTTATCCTCTTCACCCTCATCCTGCTCCTCCCCGCCTTCTCATCATAATATGTGTCTCCTCTTGTTCCTCCTCTTGTTCAATCTCCTCCTCTTCCTTTTCTCCCTCCTCTTCCTCCACCCTTTCCCTTGTCCTCAATATCCTCCTCATCCTCTTCTTACATCTCCTCCAAATTCTCAACCTCCGCATCCCCTCCTCTTCCTCCTCCTCCTCCTCATTCTCCTCATCCTGCTCCCCAAATCCATGTCCTCCTCCTCCTCCTCATCCTGCTCCCCAACTCGTCGTCCTCCTCCTCCTCCTCTTCCTGCCCTTCCTCCTCCTTCTTATCCCCCTCCTCCTCCTCATCCTCCCAATCCTCCTCCTGCTCCTCCTCCCTCTCCTCCTCCTCGCTCCTCCTCCTCCTCCTCCTCCTCCTCACTCCACCTCCTCCTCCTCTCTCACTCCT